TTGTCCCCCCCCCCCACACACACACATACACACTCACGCACACCTCCCTCACTCCCTCCCCTGATGCTTCCCACCAGTTGGAGCGAGGGAGCTTGGCTTCCAAGTGCCCAGGTCGCACGCGCCGCACTTTGTGGGTCTCACACCCCCTGTGCCATCAGATCAGCAGCACGACGCGCCCGTGTGCCCCGCGAGCGTATCCAACCCCGACACCGCCTGGCCCACGATGCCTCGCCTTGCAGCCGCCATTCAACGACACCACCACGCCTTCTGCTCTGTGCGGCACGGCGCTATTCGCGTCTCTGTCTTCCTCTACACGACCACCGCACACGTTGACAGCTTTGTCGCTGCTCTTGCCACCCAACTCGCTGCCTGGCGCTCACGCACGCCACAACCATGATATGTGTGCGTGTGTGTGTGTGTGTGTGTGTGTGTGTGTGTGTGTGTGTGTGTGTGTGTGTGTGTGTGTGTGTGTGTGTGTGTGTGTGTGTGTGTGTGTGTGTGTGTGTGTGTGAAGTTTCATTCTTCATGTGCATGAATCCTTTTTCTCTCTCGTCGGTCTTCGCCGTCATAAACATCAGCAGCCAGCAAGCATGCACCCAGGTTGCTGCAACACCCTCACAACCCTACACTGCGCCACACGTACACACGGGAGGTTTGTGGGTCAAATGTGTAATTTGGATAGTAGGACAAGGACAGACCTATGTATGGGATGGCTGTGAGGACCACCACATGTAAGCGTTCGAAGAATGATGCACAATGCACAGTAGCAGAGTAGCGGCAACACGCGGCGCAAGCAGATCGCAAAGAAGCAGTCAATTCGGGGGGCCTATGGTGGTGCATGTAAGCAAAGCAGCACAAACACGGTGCTGGACAGGCGGGCGCCACAGTAGCAACAGACAAGACAACAAGGCACACCTCATTGCCATCATCTTCATCAGTCACAGTCACTTGTGCACACATGCAAGCAAACGCGAACCAGCGTGGTGGGAACAACCCTTTCGGTACCACACACACACACACACACACACACACAACGTGCACGCACACAAAGCGCGCTGTACACAAAAAAGGCACAGCTCAACGACAACAACGACAACAAAAGTGACATTACAACGACGATGAATGACGGTACACCATGCAAGATACAGTGGAGGAGAAACAAAACCACCCCACTCCAAGCAAACAAACAGCAACAATAAGCAACGGAGACACACACATCAAGGAATGGAGGAGAAACAGAAAAAGAGAAATGACGGGTGCCTGGGACACGTGATGGCGGTGCAGCAGAATCAGGACAGGAGGCGAGTCAACGACTCCAGGCGACGACGCTACAACACCACCAACACCGGTATTCCAAGAGACACACAGCAGCTGAAATTCGCGTGGGGGCGCGGCGCGGAATTTGGCTGGTGCGCTCAGAGGAAGTCGGCGACGTTCTTGGGCATCTCGTCAATCTGGGTCTGGTAGAACTCCTCGAGCTCCTTGAGGCGGCGCACATCGTCCTCAGCAACAAAGTTGATGGCAACACCCTTACGGCCGAAACGACCGCTACGGCCAATCCTGTGGAAGGGAAAGCGAATTGAATGGCAAGGGGGAGGACGAGAAGGAGCGTGAGGTGCGGGCAGATGTGTGTGTGTGTGTGTGTGATGTACGAGTCAAAACGAAAACACATGTGACCAACACGGGAAACACAAAGAACAAGACGCAAACGTGAACATAGAAACACACACACGACGCACAGGCACACCCATCCATGCATGCACGACACGATGCTCGTGCGCACCTGTGCAAGTAGTTCTCGCGGTTGCTGGGGAGGTCAAAGTTGATGACGAGGGAGACCTGCTGGACGTCGATACCGCGCGCCAGGAGATCGGTGGTGATGAGGACGCGGGTGGAGCCGGCGCGGAACTCCTTCATGATCATGTTACGCTCGTCCTGGGTCATGTCACCGTGGGTGCAGGAGACCTGGTGACCGCGGGCGCGCAGCTGCTCCGTGAGCCAGTCGACCTTGCGGCGGGTGTTGCAGAAGATGACGGCCTGGGAGATGGTGATGGTCTTCCAGATGTCGCTCAGGGTCTCGAGCTTCCAGTCCTCCTTGCCGACGTCGACGTAGAACTGGCGGATACCCTCGAGGGTGAGCTGCTCCTTCTTGACGAGGATGCGGATGGGGTCGCGCATGAAGCGCTTGGTCACCTCGAGCACGTCATCGGGCATGGTGGCGGAGATGAGGATGACTTGGACGTCCTTGGGGAGCGTCTGGAAGATGTCGTAGATCTGGTCGGTGAAGCCAAAGGAAAGCATCTCATCGGCCTCATCGAGGACAAACACGCCCAGGTTGGACACGTCGAGGGCACCGCTGTTGATCATGTGGAAGACACGACCGGGGGTACCGACGATGACCTGCACGCCCTGCTCGAGCTTGGCCATGTCGTCCTGCACGCGGGTACCGCCGATGCAGCCCATGGTCTTGACGTCCATGTACTGGCCGAGGTTCTCGAGCACGTCCAGGCTCTGGGTGGCAAGCTCGCGGGTGGGGGCGAGGATGAGGGCCTGGCACTCGGGGCGGGTGGTGTCGATGCGCTGCAGCACGGAGACGGAGAAGGTGGCCGTCTTACCGGTACCGGACTGGGCCTGGGCAATCACGTCGCGGCCCTTGGTGCAGGGCACGATGGCGCGCTGCTGGATGGCGGAGGGGCGCTCGAAACCGTACGAGTAGATGCCACGGAGAAGCTCGGCCTTGAGACCCATGTCGTCGAAGTTGTCAACAACCTCGTTCCAGTTGGACTCAATCTCGCCCTCGGGCGCCATGTTGGCGGGGCCATCGGCGGGGGCGGCGGGCTTGTCCGAGGTCTCAGCGTTCCAGCTGCGCATTTTGTGTGTGTGTGTGTGTGTGTGTGTGTGTGTGTGTGTGTGTGTGTGTGTGTGTGTGTGTGTGTGGAAGGGAGGTTGGTTGCACAAGCAACAAGATGGTTGGTGTTGTGTGTGTGTGTGTGTGTGTGTGTGTGATGTGAGGGGTGGGTGATGTGAGAGGTGAGCGTTGCAGGTGCAGTTTGTGGTGGTCGTGGACGCGGTGGTGGTATTGATGTGTGCAACGCCCACCACACAAGGACAACCAGTTCAAGGACGAAGGAAACAATCAACAATGACAGCCGACGTGCGCGTGCGTGCGTGCGTGCATGTGTGCATCATTGCAGAAGGTCGGGGTTGTCCTCATCGAAAGCTGTCTCGTACTGGTAGGTACATCAACGACTGCAGTGCACACTGCAGGGGTCATCTCATCTTGGTCGACATCCCCGTCGCTTGCTGGCGTCACGATCACATCAACTGCCCGCCACCACGTGTTCTCTTTCATCTCTCCAACAAGCTGTCCCTTTGCTTCCTGTCCGCATCGCTGTGCTCGTTCCTCGTTCCATTCAGTGCCGCAATGTTTCTGGCGTGGGCTGGACAACGGGCTGCATTGCACCTCGTGCACGCGCACGCACAGCTGCCCTCTTCACGCACCACAGCACGGCGCGTGCGAACAACAAGCTAACAAACACACACACACACGCACACGCACACGCACGCGCACAAACACACACACACACAAGAGCGCGCGCGCATGCACAGGCACACAAAGACGTGACGTGACGCACCTCATGATTGGAAGGGGTTTTGGGGGAGTGCAAAAGAGTTAGTGCAAAGGGAAGGGCGTGGTGAAGACGGAGTTCAGGGTGCGGGGAATGGTGACGGCTTGAAGAGGGAGAGCAAAGGGGGGTGAGAAGCGCAGAGGGGTTGGTTGCGTGTGAGTGAGAGAGCGACTTTCGGATCGGCGTTGCACAGACGAGTTGCAGGGGAAAAGGGCGGGCGCAAGAGATCACGGCAGCTTACTTGTGTTGTGCAGACAGCAGATTTGGGGAAGAAAAGGCACACACAAGCACCAGGCAAGAGCAAGGCACGAGCAGGCGAGAAGCAAGAAGGAGAGCACAAGGGCGCGCAAGCACGTGTGCAGCCGAGCGAGCCGACCCAAAAACCAGTTACCTTTTCTCTGCGGGTGATTGGGTTGTTCGACTAATGCGCCCATGTGGATACAATGGTTTGCCATAAGAACACCAACAAAGAGCACAGTATAGGTTTCGAGAACCGAAGATAATTTTTCACGCCAGCTTCATCATAAAAGCAATCATCGATTATTCATTAATGATTCCACAAAAAAAACAGGTAAAATCGTGTTATTCTTGTTTTGGTATAACATAATACGACAACACAAGTTGATTGATGGACCGTTGTCGACAGCGACACACAGACATATGGTTTGGAGCAACCCAGCAAGGATGATGAGGAGAAAGCCAGCGGCGGTGGCGGTGGCGCAGCTGCCACAGCGCATGCTGGTTGTGGCTGCTGTTGTGCTGCTGGCGGTTGTGCTGGCTGTTGCGGGTGTCGAAGCACAAGCACAGCAACAGCAGGAACATCAGGAACTTCAGCAGCAGCAGAAACAGCAAGGACAGTCGCAGCAACAGCAGCAACAACAGTCGCAGCAGATGCCGCCTTGGCCACAGTACAGGCGGTTTGCGAATCGAACAGGGTACATGGAGAGCATGACCTTCAACGAGCACCCGACCATCAAATGGGCGTTTGAGGTGCGTCAGGGTGTCGTGGAGGGCTCCTTTGCCGTGTCCCAGGACGCCATCTTCTTTGGCACGACCAGCGGCATGGTTCACGCCTTGGACCGCACATCGGGAGAGTCGCTGTGGAACATGACGACGAGAGGGCCCATCGTGTCCACTCCGTGCTTGCCGCTCCTGGGCCAGTTTGTGGCCGTCACGTCGCTGGACGGCAGCTTCTACAAGCTGGATGCTGCACACGGGTACTTGGCCTGGCGCGATGTCACGGGCGCCGCCATCCCTGCCTCGCCCCTTCTTCTCCAGGACGACCACCACGTTGCCATTGTGTGCGTCATCGTGTGTCGTGTGTTTGTGTATGCGTGTGCGTGTGTGTGTGTGCGTGCGTGTGTGCAGATG